CCCCCAGACCCCCCCCGATAAGTTACAACTCCCCTCATAGACCAAGAGGCACGCACTGCATTGGCGCGTTTTCGTTCATGTGCGCACGCTTCATGCACATGCATAGATAGTTCTGGCACTGTTTGTGAACAAAAAGTAAATCCGACCAAGCAAAGGCCCAAAGCAAGCAACCGCATAGCAAATCAAAGGCCGTCACCCGCCACTGCAAACCACAGCACACTGGGACTCTACCGGTTCATCATGTACCGGCCCCTGCGGATGCGCTGTGTCTGAGCCCGCTTGGCACTGCGAGCGCTCGGGTTGGGCGCCTCGCCGCATTCGTTGTTGTCAAGCTGATTGGGTGACAGCTTGCGCTTATGCTGATCACAACCGCCATGGAAGGCAGGGGTAATGGCGCCCGTGTCATCGGTCGCCGCTGGCAGCAACATTGCCGATGCATTACCGACAACAGCACCGCCGTCCCAAACGCCTTTATCAGGAAAATTTTCAGACTTATCTTGCTGTTTTTGTGTTTGTTCGGCGTTCAAGTCGTTGCCTTTTGCGTGTTTGTCTATGGAAGGACCGGTCATACATTCTGCTATGCCGCGTTGACTCACGGGCTTGACCTTCTTACGGCCCCTCATATCTATTTTATGATCGATAATACTAAGTTCTGCACACTACGGAGCAATCTGGCAGCAATGGACGTTTTTGGCTGAAGGAATGAAAATGTACGGATCGGCCTCACTTTGTTCCTTATTTCCAAAGGCCAAAAAGGCCTCTTTATTCCTTAAAAGTAATATATTACTTAAAAAAAAACACTGCTTGCCTCTTGTTTCCTGATGGGCCAACGAAGGATATTCACATTGGCCTTCACTCCTCCTCATACAGATAATTGTTAATGCCTTCTTCGGCCGCTTCGATGAATAACAGTCCCAGGCAAGGGTGTTTGGTACGATCTCTGCGGTTCTTTCTGACTTTCTTAAGTCTTTCTCGGGCAACTGCCCTTATGGTCTCCATCGGGTGGTCGACCTTTATGCGCTCTAGGGGACGGTAACGGCCTTCTAATAGCTGTGGCTCGTTCTGTGCCTCGCTTCATGCCCGGTACTCCTGGTCCCATGTCTGAGACGTGTCTTCTCCCCGTCTCCCTTCTACAAGTGCACCGCCTTCTGCGGTCGTTGTTAAAATACTTCTAGATCGCCACGCCTGTATTCCTGCAAGCCACTACGGTGGGCTTCTCCAGACGCTGCCTCCTGCACCCTCTTGTGAACCATACTCCGCGGACCGCCGCGGCGGTTTTGCTACGAGTGCGATGCCTTCTGTGGTTGCTGTCTACATGTTCCTACACCAAACGCCTTCGGTTCTGCGTGCCGCCGTGGTGGGCTTCTGAAGCACTGATTGGGCCGCCACAGCGTTTGTCTACTGGTGCACCGCCTTCCACGGCTGCTGACTACATGCGCCTAACTAGCAACGCCTTCAGTTCGGCTCGCCGCCGTGGCAGGCTTCCTAAGCGCACTACTTTTCGCAGCCTCTTGTGATGCGTTTTGTGTCGCATATAACGGGCCGCCACAGCGGTTTTTCTACAAGCGCATCGCCTTTCGTGGTCGCTATCGACATGCCCCTAAATCACCACGCCTTTCGTTTGGTGGGCCGCCACGGCGGGCTTCTTAAGCGTGTTGCCTTCCGCAGCCGCTTGCCATGTATTTTGCGCCACACTTTGCGGACCGCCGCAGCAGCTTTCTACAAGCGCACCGCCTTCTGCGGTCACTGTCTATGTCCTCCTAGGTCACCACACCTTCAGTTCAGCGTGCCGCCTCCTCGGGCTTCCTAATCGCGTTGCCTTCCGCAGCCGCTAGCCATGCACTTGGTGCCGCACTTAGCGGACCGCCAACAGCATCTTTTCCACAAGTGTACCGCCTTCTGTGGCCGCCATCTATATGCTCCCAAATCACAACGCCTTAGTTCTGCATGCCGCCGCGGTGGGCTTCCTAAGCGCACTGCCTTCCACAGCCGCTTGTCATGTATTTTGTGCCGCACTTTGCGGACCGCGGTCTCTGTCTATGTCCACCTAGATCACGACACCTTCAGTTTGGCGTGCCGCCTCGTCAGGCTTCCTAATCGCGCTGCCTTCTGCAGCCGCTCGTCATGCAATTAGTGCCACACTTAGCGTAACTCCACGGCGGCTTTTCTACAAGCGCCCCGCCTTCCGCGGTCGCTGTCTGTATGCTTCTAAATCACAATGTCTTCAGTTCGACGTGCCGCCGTGGCGGGCTTCCTAAGTGCGCTGCCTTCCACAGCCGCTCGTCATGCAATTAGTGCTGCACTTATCGGACCCCCGCAGCGGCTTTTTCTACGCCTTCCGCGGCCGCTATCTATCAGCTCCTAAATTTACAACGCCTTCGGTTCGCGTGCCACCACGGCAGGCTTCCTAAGCGCGCTGCCTTCTGCAGCCGCTTGTCATGCAATTAGTGCTGCACTTATCGGACCGCCGCAGCGGCTTTTCTACAAGCGCCCCGCCTCCCGCGGCCGCCGTCTGTATACTCCTAAATTTACAACGCCTTCAGTTCGGCGTGCCACCACGGCGGGCTTCCTAAGCGCACTGCCTTCCGCAGCCGCTTGTCATGCAATTAGTGCTGCACTTAGCGGACCGCCGCAGCGGCTTTTCTACAAGCACCCCGCCTTCCGCGGCCGCCGTCTATCAGCTCCTAAATTTACAACGCCTTCGGTTCGCGTGCCACCGCGGCGGCTTCCTAAGCGCACTGCCTTCCGCAGCCGCTTGTCATGCAATTAGTGCTGCACTTAGCGGACCGCCGCAGCGGCTTTTCTACAAGCGCCCCGCCTCCCGCGGCCGCCGTCTATATACTTCTAAATCACCACGCCTTCAGTTCGGCGTGCCGCCATGGCGGGCTTCCTAAGCGCACTGCCTTCCACAGCCGCTTGTCATGCAATTAGTGCTGCACTTATCGGACCGCCGCAGCGGCTTTTTCTACAAGCACCCCGCCTTCCGCGGCCGCCGTCTATCAGCTCCTAAATTTACAACGCCTTCAGTTCGGTGTGCCGCCGCGCCGGGCTTCCTAAGCGCACTGCCTTCCTCAGCCGCTCGTCATGCAATTAGTGCCGCACTTAGCGGACCGCTGCAGCGGCTTTTCTACAAGCGCCCCGCCTCCCGCGGCCACCGTCTATATACTTCTAAATCACCACGCCTTCAGTTCGGCATGCCGCCACGGCGGGCTTCCTAAGCGCACTGCCTTCCGCAGCCGCTTGTCATGCAATTAGTGCTGCACTTAGCGGACCGCCGCAGCGGCTTTTCTACAAGCACCCCGCCTTCCGCGGTCGCTGTTTATATGCTTCTAAATCACAACGTCTTCAGTTCGACGTGCCGCCACGGCGGGCTTCCTAAGCCGAACTGAAGACGTTGTGATTTAGAAGCATATAAATGCCACCGCCACGGCCGCCACCGCCGCCGCCGCCAAACGTGCCGCCACGGCGGGCTTCCTAAGCACACTGCCTTCCGCAGCCGCTTGTCATGCAATTAGTGCTGCACTTAGCGGACCGCCGCAGCGGCTTTTCTACAAGCGCCCCGCCTCCCGCGGCCGCCGTCTATATACTTCTAAATCACCCCGCCTTCAGTTCGGTGTGTGCCGCCACGGTGGGCTTCCTAAGCGCACTGCCTTCCGCAGCCGCTTGTCATGCAATTAGTTCTGCGCTTAGCGGACCGCCACAGTGGCTTTTTCTACAAGCACCCCGCCTTCCGCGGCCGCCATCTATATGCTTCTAAATTACAACGCCTTCGGTTCACGTGCCGCCATGGCGGGCTTCCTAAGCGTGTTGCCTTCCGCAGCCGCTGACGAGCATTAGTGCCGCACTTAGCGGACCGCCGCAGCGGCTTTCATGCAATTAGTGCCGCACTTAGCGGACGGCCGCAGCGGCTTTCATGCAATTTGTGCCGCACTTAGCGGACCGCTGCAGCGGCTTTCATGCAATCTGTGCCGCACTTAGCGGAACACCGCAGCGGCTTTCATGCAATTTGTGCCGCACTTAGCGGACCGCCGCAGCGGCTTTCATGCAATTTGTGCCGCACTTAGCGGACCGCCACAGCGGCTTTCATGCAATTTGTGCCGCACTTAGCGGACCGCCGCGGCGGCTTTATGATATAGCTGTAGCCAGTCCACACGTCCGAAGACTCCGGGTCCACCCACGCGTCTTGGCTTCAACTTTCGTTTGCTTGCAGATTTCTTGAAGTCATCCTGTCTGCCTGCTTTGCTCGTTGTTCTTTACGCATTCACGCTTTGGGTGGCTGTTCTGTTGGTAAGTATCCTGCACCGGGCTGTCTGGCGACTCGCGAGGATACCAGAGTAAATCCGGCGGACTCAAGACAAAGGACGCCAACCAAGCCACTCGCAACCCATTGCCCACAAAGAGCTACTCCAGGCAAATCGGACTCCCATCTAAAGCCTCGCCAACTGCGGGAGGCCGAAATAAACCACCTCCTCTACTAAACGACGGACCTCGCGAGCCCCACTAGAATTCACCCCGCCTACCGACAAGCAACAGGGCCCACTATTCAGGTGCCTCTAATCAAGGCCGAACCAACCCAACCACCCGCGCGGGTGCCCGCGCGCTTCACTTACTTGCATGGATGCCGTCGACCCGCAACGTCGATCCGCGCGCCGCCGTTGTTGTTGTCTTTCATAAATAAGAGACGGCGTCCTATTGTATTCAAAACCCAAGACAAAGGCAATCTAACGTCGCTCGTCAATCGATTCGCGACCTCGACTTTCTCTAGTCTTTCTACTCGTCTATTTTCTGTAACCTGTCTTAATAA